GGAATTTTTCCACGTGATCTAAAAAAATCATACTTTGACTTCACAGCATGCAAATCTGTGATAAAACCTTAAACTACTTTCAGTAATCATATTATTTTGGGATTGTTATCTGTGTATTGTAGTTTAAACAAAATTTGTAATTATGTTGGTGTCTGTGAAAGCTGGGATTTTTGGCAGGGGGCAAACTAAAAACAGATATAAGTAAAATCAATCAGTTTAAGCAAAAACACCACAATCTTGTATTTGAGTTGGTAATAACAGTGAGAACTCATTTGTCGTTGTTTTTAAAAGAAAAAAAAACAGAAAAAAAAACGTGTTTTATATCTTTTTTCCACTGAAAATGCCTGAAAAAAAAAAGACCAATTTGAATTTGAAGAGTTGAATTAGGCTTGGTGTGCTTTTACTACATTTAGGAGGGAATTGCATTATTAGGGTCAAATGAGTATGTACTCTAGAAAATCACTTACCTTTATATTAATAGTACTGGGAATCTGTTCCATGTATGTTCAAGAGTGATTCCTCTGGAAGATTGGGGCTCTTTGGTCTGCCTTAGAATTAAAGGTCCTCTAAGGACAGGATCACTGAGTTTTAGTCTATATCCATTGCCTTCCAGTTCAAAAGAGTGGTGCCCCAAGTGGAAGGGGAAAAAACAAAAGTAGCTTATTTTAGAAAGAAATTAAGTTTCAAGTGTATATTTAGTTTTTCAAAAGCTAGTGAACCCTTCTCAGCTATTTTCAAGTCTCAATTTTATTTGGACAGCTAATCTGCAGAAAAGAGCAAATCCAAGATCAGAAAAGGGAAACATAAATAAAAGCTAAGCATGCTTTTAGCCTGTAAAGCTGGAAACACTAGCACTTCTTATTTCATATTTTACTAAAGAAGAACTGATAAGTAGTTCAGAACTTAACCGCCAAATCAAACATTTGGGTAGGAAAAAAAAAGAGTATATTCACAAAAAATTTTATTGGCACAAAATTTTAGTCTTCTAGATTTAAAAAAATCATTCTTTTATTAATTTATTTAACATAAGCTAATAACAATAACTACTGCTTATTGAGTATGTCAGTGTAATCTCCATTTAATGCTTATACAGTCTTATGGGATACGTTCTGCAATTTGGGGGGGGCGGGGCAGATTTTATAAAATTAAACTTGCCCCACCTTAAAATATAATGCAAGGGCCAGCCGAGTGGCTCAGTTGGTTAAGAGCTCTCTCAAGAGTTTGAGCTCTGAGCAACAGCGGTTTGTTTCCCGGCCTGAGCTGAGCAGCCACTGAGCTGCCAACAGGTGGCAGGATGGCTCAGCTTAAAATAAAAACAAAAAAACATAATGCCCAGGCTCCACTTCCTTTCCTTCTAACATGATTGAAAACTATTTTGTGAGGCTCAGAGAGAGGTTGAGTGACTTGCCCAAAGCCTCTCTTTTAAAGGGAAGAGCCAGGATTTGAACACAGGCATTCTGACATCAGAATTCACATTGAAACCTACTGAGCTAACAATCTGTGCAATGAAAGTGAGGACTGAAGTAAGTGATCATCCCTGGTAAGCACTAATATACTGTCTCCAGAAACTCTCCTTTTCTGGACGTTTCATATAAATGAGTGAGTCATACAATATATCATCTTTTATGTCTGGCTTCTTTCACTTAGCATGGTATTTTCAAGGTTCATCTATGTTACAGCATATATCAATACTTCATTCTTTTTGTATTGCCAAATAACGTTCTAGTCTATGGATATGCCATATTTTGTTTAGCTATTTATCAATTGATGGGCACTTGGGTATTTCCTACTTTTGGGTTACTATGAATAATGCTGTTATAAACATTTATTTACAAGTTATATATTATATATATATATATATATATATATATATATATATATATATATATATATATATATATATATATATCCCCCATGTTTGGGGTATATACCTAGGAGTGGAGTTTTGGTTCATACATGTGATAACTCTATGTTTAACATTTTGAAGAAATAACAGACTGAACATGGGATGTCTTTAAGTTTATTTCATTCTTTTTAAATTTCTCAATTATGTCTCATAGGACAAGCTTGCACTTCTTTCGTTAATTTCATTGCTAAGTATTTCCCTTTGTGGTGCTATTGTAGATGGAAAATTTTCCTTAAAACAGTCTACATTTTTCTTTTTTTGGGGAGTTTTTAAAGTAATGGTATTAATACCTTAAATGTTTGGTAGAATTCAGAAATAATTTTATCTGTGCTTGGAATTTTCTGGGAGGTTTTCAGTTACTAACTCAACTTCCTGTTATAGATCTACTGATATTGTCTATTTCCTCTTGAGTTACTTTAGGTGGCTTGAGTGTTTTCAGGAATTTGTCCATTTCACCTGAATTAGCTAATTTATTAACACAGCTGTTCATAATATTTCTTCATAATCCTTTTTATTTATTTATTTATTTTTCACAAAGATTGAGAAGGATTTTTTTTCTTTCTTTGGATCCAGGCTTTTTTTTTTTTTCCTTTTAATTTTTATAAGGTCAATAGTGACGCCTCCTCTGTCATTTCTGGTTTTACTCATTTAAGTGTCCTCCTTTATCTTCTTGGTGAAACTAGCTAAAGGTTTGTCAAATGTCTTGATCTTTTCAAAAATCAAGCTTTGAAGCTTTTGGTTTCATTGATTTTTCTCTCTTTTCTATTCGCAATTTCATGGATTTCTATTCTCATACTTATTTCCTTCCTTTTGCTCATATTAAGTTTAGTTTGTTCTTATTTTCCAGTGTCTAAGATGAAAAGTTCAGACATTTATTTGCAGTCCTTTTTTCTCTTTATATATAGATATTTACAGCTAGAAATTTCCTTTTAAGCACTGCTTTATCTGCATTACATTGTTTTGGTATGTTGTGTTTTTGTTTTCATTCATATCAAAGTATTTTCTAATACCCTTTATTATTTCTTCTTTTACTTACTGGTTATTTAGGAGTATGTTCTTTAATTGCCACATATTGATGAATTTCCCAAATTTCTTTCTGTTAATGACTTTTAATTTTATTCCGTTAATGACTTTTAATTTTATTCCATTTTGGTCAGACAACATACTTTATATAACTTCAGTCCTTTCAAGTTTATTGAAACTTGTGTTATGACCCAGGTCATGGTCTACCCAAAGAATGCTCCATGTGTACCTGAGGAGACTGTGTATTCTGCCTTTGGTGGGGTA